CTATGCCTCTGCTTATGTATTCATGAACATTCTCATACACTCTCTCCCATTCTCTAATGGAGGGTTTTCTGGCTAGAACTCCGGCAAGCACAATGATGGCTAATGGCAAACCTTTACAATATTGAAGCATCTTCCTTCCTAAGTCTCTGTACATTCCCAAGTCTGAAAAATAGGAAAAGAAAAAAATATATATATGGATTTGTAGTATGAGCAATCGTAGTGGATATTCCTTGCTCGAATGATTTAAAATTAAAATTGTGAAATCTTGAAATTTACTGATATTCTTTATCTTATTATAAGTTTGGATTTTATAATACATGCCAAATGGAAAACATTTAAAAATTAAATCTGCACCAACACATAAAACGTATGGGATATTGTTGGATTGAAGAGGAGGCTGGGAGAAAATCTTGAATTAGCTAAAATTATCGTGATTATTATTTGCAATTGCATAAGATAAATTACCATACTACCTAACAAATGTGTGACCAAGTAAGGCAGTTTATAAAATTGTAAAGGGTAATCCCAACAATGACTGAAAAAAGATAAAACACTACATAAGTTGTGTCATATGCAATGGTTTCTATGTGGCTCGCTATATAACTAAGGAACTGGAAAAGAAAAGATGGAGGGTGAGAAAATACCGATTTCAGCCCTTGCAGGTATTGCTTTCTTCACAAGTAGTTCCCAACTCTCATTCTCATTGAGTGGCTGGAGTTTGTGGAGAAAAACATTTCTATTTGGGAAGGAAGCTACCGCTTGATTGCGTGTAGTAAGCAGTATTGTGCTCTCTGTTTGCACATTTGGAAATGCAACCTTCAAAAGATTCCATGTCTCGATACTCCAAATGTCATCAAGAATCACCAAACATCTCATTTCTTCCATGACACGAAAAAGCTTCTTTGCTATTTCATCATAAGTCATTTCCTTAATTTCTTGTTTTTGTTCCTGGGTAGCAGAAATCAGTTTAAACAGAATTCCTTCCCAAACATTTCTTACTTGACACCGTTGAGATACACAGACCCAAGCAAAACTACGAAAGTGGTGCCTTACTTTTTTGTGATGATAAAGCTGTCTTGCAAGGGTGGTCTTCCCTAAACCGCCCATCCCCCAAATAGATACAACTTGATGACGATTTTCATCCTTCAATACATGCATTACCAATCCTTCTACGTTGTTCTCTAACCCAACAACATCACGTTCAACAACATGAGAATAAGTTCGCCTGAGTAGTCCTTGCCTCTCATGCAATTGCAAGGAAGATTCACCACCACTACTGTCTCTGTCCCGTATTTCCGTGATATTATAACTCTGCAACCTCGATCTCAACTCCGAAATTCTGGTAGTGATATTCTCAATTTCTGCCCCAATCCTGTGAACATCAAACCCTTCCTTGACGGTTCTGGCAAATCGTTTGAGAACTTTCTTGAGGCCTCTTTCCTGCTTCTTGGAATCCACTTTCAAGCCATAAGTTTGGATGACATCCTCCAAATCATAAGCCACATCTCTAATTTTGGCAACACAAATACGGACTCTTGTATCTTGTCCTTGTCTTGCATCTGCATCTTTGAGGAATCCCTGCATGAATTCTAGCTCAGTTTGTGCAGCTTCAACTTGACGGCTGACTCCAGACAAGAAGTTGGCTTCCTGAATGGTGAAGTCTCTGACACTTTCGAGCACAAAGGAAACAACTGCCTCAGCCATTCTCTCTACTACTTTCTCTCTCTTCGCCAAAACGAAAACAACAACTAAACCTCCAGATCTAATTTGCAGATTGATCGATCTCCAGTCCCTTGTCGATGTATGAATGGCAGCCAATTGGGTCTATTTCAACACAACAAGAACTCGTCAGCTTTGTCGTTTCCTGACCACCTTGTTCTAAAATATAATGTAATGCACGCTGTAGTAGGTGAACCAGAATTAGTTTTAGATTGATTTAACAATTTCTATCTGTATATGTCCAGTAAACTAATAAATAATCGTCCCAACATCTCTCAAAAAATAAATTATTCTTGTGCAACCACTTGTATATATTTGTCCAACCACTTGTATCGCACACCCCAGACAACTTCAGGAATCTTCAAATAAATTATTCTTCCATAATTGGTGCAAGTTGTATAATTTAATCACTTTATCTTTAACAATTTATTAGTCCTTTTTCTTTAAGAACTTATTTTTATTTTTTTCGAACTTTGACTGAGTCGTTAATTCTACTCACCACAAGAAACTGCTTTCGTCTTCTTGCAAGAAAGTTGCTGTCTATTTATTTATTCAAACTGGCAAATTGTCTTGGCACATGCAGAGCTTCTTCCCCATACTTTCTCAATGTCAAGTCCAAGCTGCAGCTACCACAACACCCGTTGCATGTAAGCCAGATAAGGCTCTTAGATCACTTACATTAGGAAGACCTGAATTTAGTAAAGAAAAAGAAAAAAATTATAGCATGAACTGGTGTGCTGCAAATCTTTTAAGCAATGCGTTAATGTCCAAATATTTACAAAGTTGTGTAAGAAACTAACAACTATCATTATATCACTAAATGGTAGTATCAACCCAATATAAAAAGGATCTATGCTGGATGTTCAAAATCATCAGAATAGCAGGCTCCCTTCATCACTAAGATAAGGTAGTCAAGCATCTGATAGATCGAATTAGAACAAGTATGTGCTTCATCAGCAACATAGAAACAACGAGTCTTTGAACTAATGCTTCTCCAGCTGCACCCAGGTGCCTTCTTCAAACCTCTTTCTTTCATCATTCTTCTCATTTCAGCTACAACGTCCCACCTCCTAGAAGAGGCATAGAAGTTCGATAGCGAAATA